TTGGAGGTCTTCTAGTCCAACAGGGAGGGAGGGAAGAAGGGAGGGAGAAGGAAAGGAAGGAAGGAAGGAAGGAAGGAAGGAAGGAAGGAAGGAAGGAAGGAAGGAAGGAAGGAAGGAAGGAAGGAAGGAGAATTGGAAGGGACCTTGGAGGTCTTCTAGTCCAACAGGGAGGGAGGGAAGAAGGGAGGGAGAAGGAAAGGAAGGAAGGAATTGGAAGGGACCTTGGAGGTCTTCTAGTCCAACCCCCTGCTTAGGCAGGAAACCCCATAGCATTTCAGACAAATGTGTTGTCCAATCTCTTCTTAAAAACCTCCAGCGATGGAGCACACCCACAACTTCTAGTGGCAAGCCGTTCCACTGGTGAGTTGTCCTCACTGTCAGGAAATTCCTTAGTTCTAGATTGCTTCTCTCCTTGGTTAGTTTCCATCCATGGCTTCTTGTCCTGCCTTCAAAGTGCTTTGGAGAATAGCTTGACTCCCTCTTCTTTGGGGCAGCCCCTCAAATCTTGGAACCCTGCTATCCTGTCTCCCCCCAGTTCCTTCTTTTCATCAAACCAGACGTACCCAGTTCCTGCAACCGTTCTTTGTATGTTTTAGCCTCCAGTCCCCTTAATCCTCTTGGTTGCTTCTTCTCTGCACTCTTTCTAGAGTCTCAACATCTTTTTTTACATCCTGGCAACCAAAACTGGATGCGGGATTCCAACTGTGGCCTTACCAAGGCCTTAAAAAGTGGTATTAACACTTCATGTGATCTTGATTCTATCCTGCTGTTAATGCAGTTTAGGATTGCATTGACTTTTTTGGCCGCTGCAGCACACGGCTGGCTCGTATTTAAATGATAGGACTCTAAGATCCCTCTCACAGTTACTACTATTGAGCGAAGCACCACATCTACTGTACCTGTGCATTTTATATATTTTGATTTCTATAGCCGCCCATTATCTCAGCAAATCACTATTGGAAGCTCCCAATTAACTGTTAAAATTTATTTGCCGTCCAAATCAACATTCACCTTGGCATGCTAGCGAATTCCTCTGGACATCCCACCAACATCTAAGATCCCAAACACCAATATTTTTCCCAAACCACCAATATTTTTCCAGTTCCACTAGGGAACAGTGGTTAGACACAGCCCCCTGCCAGCACCCCCATGGACCCCAAACCTACTCAGTGGTTCGAAGACGGAGGTTATCTGCGTGTTCTGGGATGCCGTACACGTTCTCCACTCCCGGGAAGGAGAAATCCAGTCCCACTGACGTTGGTCCTGTAGTACAACGAGGAGCGGGGAAGGAAAAAGGGCTGAGTTTCTCCGGTTGGGGTCACTCCTGAAGCATCAAACCACGTTCCTTCGTCTCATCTGAAGTGATCCCACTTGATAAACTCTGGCTTGCAAGTGGACATTAGGCCGGAATGTGAAACTAGAAGCCGGTTTGTGAATCCCGGTTAAGCACTTGGGAGGTTTGGTATTCCGGGGCGAAGTCACACATCGCAGAGTGGAATTTTAGTTTTGAGAAAGCTATCAAAAAGGGACAATTGGGGGGGGGAGGGAGAGGAGGGAGGCAAGGAAAGGAGGAGGAAAGAAAAGAGAGAGGGAGGGAAGGAAAGGAGGGAGAAAGGAAAGAGAGGAAGAAAAGGAGGGAAGGAGGGAAGGAAAGGGGGGAGGGAAGGAAAAAGGGGGAAAAGAAAGGAGGGAGGGAGGGAGGGAGGGAGGGAGGGAGGGAGGG